ACGCGGATAGGGAACACTCTCCTAAAATTTATCCTCCTGGTTCTTGTGGTTCCTGAGTTACAGTTTTGGCGTCAGAACTTTCACATTTCCCTACGTAAGATCTAAGCGTGTGCAGAGGTTGGATTTGAGTAATGCGGAGTCGTATACGGATAAGGAATATCCTAATATTTCAGCTCACTAGCTCTCCTGGTCCCCGAGTTAATTTTCGCGCCACAACTTTCACGTGCTCGTACGCAGAACCTACGCGTATGCGAAGGCTGAATTTAACTTTATGGGGCCACGTGCGGGCAAAGGGCAACCTGCTAAAACTTCAACATCCCAGCGTCTGATCCTCTCAAGTTTATACGCCGAAACTTTTGAGTGGCGATACGTGGGGTGCAAGCGTGCTTGTGAGCTGGATTTGAAGTTGTGAGGCCACGCGCGAATGAGGGGAACCTCGTTTGAGATCTTCGCTTCCTAACTTTTCTGGTTCCCTAGTTGAATCATCTGTTTTTACAGTGGAACGAAACGTGTACTCGAAAAAGCATTAGAAGGGGAACTATGCAAAAAACGCATCTTCGCACGGGTAACCCGTGCGCTGGCCAATTATTTTTATAACCATCTCTGAGTGTCACTTCGTCTGTTCATAAATCGTTAATGGCGGCCTCTTCATTCTCATTAGCGACCATAACCCGTCAGATACAATGATTGGTAACTCATCCAGAACAAGACATCTGAAGGCATATTTATATGTAAAGCATTTAGGGGTGAAAACATTCACGAACTGAGTGTAATATGGAGGAAACAAAATACACAGCGTGACAAGGCAGAAAGACACCATTTCTTGGATGCCATCTAAAAAGGACAAGAGATACGGAATGATTTACTCCCTGTCACGCTTTTAAATAATGACAACTGGCTAATACGGAAAGGGGGAAATGCCGTCAAACAATCAGAGCTCGGACTTACTGAATTACTTTATCTAGCCTTTCAGTAGCGATGCGTCCAGAGGAAGCAATGAATACAGCAATCGCTCCCTCATAGACAAATTCGATTGCCCCGGCAAAAATGACAAAATTTGGTGATGCAGCCACAAAATCTAGCCCAGAAAGGAGCCGTACTGAATCTAGTTAATGCAAAAAACAATTGCGAGATGCTTCAGAAGCGAAAAATCGATGGCAAAAACGTCAGAAAAGCTGAAACGTTAAGTTTAAACAGCGGGCGGGCACTTTCTATGCGTTTTTTTGCATCTATGCAATGCAAAAACGCATATTGTCGAGGGGTTGCCTGTGTG